CTACAAGCGATAAGCAAATGAGAAACTGTTTAATTCCACCTAATAAGTGAGCTCATTAGGAATTAACACAGCTGCTGTTTATAAATATAAATCCAATAGAGAAGTTTTGAGAGCATAATTCAACCAAAACGATAACTTAAATCATATTAACTATGCAATATAAATAATCTTAAAATTCCAAATTTTACCAAAATTAGGGCATTTTCATATTATGACAGTACCTGGGGAAACAGCTAAATAAGATAAGTTCTAATTATTGCTGTGATTTATATATAATAAGTCTTTTTTTCCTTCCTTCTCATTTTAGCCTGGAAAGGAATCTATTTTACTTTCGCCATAATTTAATGTTATCATTATGGTCCTTTGACTTATAGTTGACCTGAACCTGAAGCAGGAATTTTACTGTGAGCAAAAGGGTCAGGTATCATAAAGGGGAATGTAGTTGTTTTTAGTACACAGTCAGCTTATGTGCTGAAGAGTCAGAGATGCTGCTCTTGTTTAGGTATGGATGGACTGTAGGAGAATGGAGATGGTGGCTAACATTACCCACAGGGATCCAAAAATGGTATAATAGGAAGGGACTGGGAAAAGACATTAACTGTAATTTTCGTCATTTGTAAGAAAACACAATTAGACCATGACTAATTTCAAAATGGATTTAAAGTGACTCACAGTACTAAGTTATATAAATGACAGGAGCTGACAAAATGGCAACCTGGCAAGTCTATTGGTTTTTTTTTTCCTCAGACTAAACCTGGACTGCCCCACAACTGAGGAAAAAGCATCTGCATCCGAGGAATAAGAGACTGCAGGAAACCCCTTGGGGTACAGAAGGTATCTGGTCTGGGAGCTCAAGTCAGGGGAGTCCTGGGTGTCACAATTCACAAATAGGGTAGGGAAAGCTTTTTAAGCATGTTCTTTTCTCTCCACAACATAGTCCTGGGCAGGTTATAGTCTTTCAATAAACAACATGAGACTAAATAAATAAATACATGCCAATGTACTTACAAATACATAAAAAAAAATAAAAAGTAAAAAGTGACAATCCAGTACCACGAGAACTGGAGGGTTACTAATGTTTAAAAGAAGCAAAATAAATTTCTTCAAAAAATAGGTTATATTGATAATACAGATTAGGTAAAAGTAATTACAAAGAATGAAAACTACGTGGTAAAAGACCATCTTACTTCCAAAGAGAATTGAATTATAGCAGAACTTGTGGGAAGGGCCATTTTTATTTTTAAAATTAAGAGCACATTTTCATTGCCAAGTTCCTTGGGCAGATTTTCAATGTATTGCAACATAAAAAGTGGAAGAGCTGGTTTTGACATAATTTTTTTTTAAGATATGCTATTACTATTTTATCACCTTGTTGTTCATAAACACCCACAAATATTTGAAATCCTCTCCCCCAGCTTCCCCTTTTTTTGGTAAGGAGTGTATCCTAGTGAACATTTTAGGATGAATTACAGCAAAATATCCCCAAATGATAGCATTAGTTCATCTTTCAGAGGGATTTAAACTTTGATAAATTCTTTCAAAACTTATGATTTAATTTTCATTTCATTCACACTAAATTGTTCTTTCTGCTAATAATTAGCCAACTGTTTAATTTGTTTTTTATACTGAGTCTTGGTTTTTTATAACAAATCAAACCACCAACATACAAATGGACACTAGCTTTGTCTACTTGATATAGGGTATTAATCTAAAATAGTTTGTAAATTATTCAGATATTGTAAAAGCAAGGGTGGGGCTAAATCATGCACTACGGCATTTAATAAGGGGATTTTATCTGCCAGAACCTTCTGAGTTTGGGTCTTAAAGTCATATGATACAGGCTTTGTTGATGCATTAATAGCACAGGATCTATTTTAAGACTGTACATGCTACAACACAGAATCTATTTGTAGAATCAAGGCAAGATCAATGAGCATAGTGAAGAGCTTATTCTAATTTGAGCTATTTTCTTGATGAGAGAGAGAGGTTAGACACAGTAGTGGCATAACCATGTCTAAAATCTGCATGCTTCTTATGAAAAATATTAAATCGAGTGACTCATTTTTTTGAGAAAGAAGCCTAATATGATATTAAGGTGATATTCAACATGTAAAAATATTTATAACCTAGGGGGATAAGGTCTTATTTTCATGAAAATAAATTAGAGTACATTTTGAGATTATTTTAAACGTTTCTAGAATAAATAGTTTAGGACAACTGAATTTGCTTTTCAGGAAAAGATTAAAAAAAAAAAACAATTATAATGGCAAGAATTGCCTGATTTGGCTTTTTCAGTCTAAGGAGATTATGCATTTTATAGTAGATGCAATACAGGAATCCCAGAACTACAACACTTTCAGAGAGATATTCCAAAAACTATCAATTTGAGTAAAATATTTCATCTAATCGCAAAATGCAGCAGTTTTCATTGTAAGCTAGAGGCTTTCCAAACAGAATGCTGGTCCTGGAAACTGAATCCAAAGACTCTCTTTGAAATCTGTTATGATAGAATTTGTTTTAATTATTTTGAATTGCTTACAAAAATTCTAACGATTATTTTTAAATCACCATATTCAGTTTCATAATATTTTCTTTTCTTCCTAATATTTAAACTTGATTTCACAAAGTTTTAAGCAAGATGAAATTTAGGGAAACATGGATACATTTGGGAATTGTGTCATGTGGAAGTATCTAATTCAACACTATCAAATTTACTATAGGTAAATTTCAGTTCTTCAGTTAATTTACTAAAGAATGCTGTCTCCTCCAAAGTAAAAGAGGAATCAGTGCTCAGGTAACAGAAATATACTGTATACTGTCTAAATCTCTGTCTGAATTGACTGCTTCTAGAGGATTTACACCATGTGACATAAACTTGCCTTGTTAGAAAGACAGATGTGTGAGAAGAATTTGTTAGTTTTATCAAGGGACTTCGCATATTTCAACTATGGCCGGTAGAAGATGATGGTGTCTCCACGACAACCTCTGTTTTAGGCAAAGATGATATGAAGAATATTTTACATAAGATCCGGTCGACTATGAAAGCCTACACTGAGCTATGAGTTTGTAAACCAGTCATTTGTGTGAGCTAGGTAAACACTGCCTTGTAGTGAGACACTGGCTTGCTTTCTTGAATCAACTACTGGAAGTTTTAAAACTAATATATTTTTGAGAGACTACTCTAGAGATAGCCTATCAGTTCTCTTCATGAGTTTTCCTTTCAAGGCAGTTAGTAGGAGTTAACCCTGACCTGCATAGATTCCAAGATATAAAGGAGATGATGTGGGACATTTAAGGTAATCTAGACTCCACAAGTAAGACTGCCAGAAACTACAGTTTGTTTGCAGTTTTGAAGAAGAGACATCTATGTTCTCCAGGCACAGTGCTTCAGCTCTAGGTGTAGGAAACTTTAATAACATACTTTAACCACTACAGAGAGCTCAGTTGCTTGTTCCATTTCTGTTGTGAGTCAAGGATACAACTTAGCAATGTTTCCACAGTTTCTGACTTGGAGTGGGAGGGACAAATAATTTTGAAAGTATACTGTCCTCCCTGGAACCCTCTATGGACTGTATCTTTTGAAATAGCTACTTCAAAATTTGTTTGGCTACTTTTCCATGTCCTATGGGTCCTGCACTAAATAATCCTTCTTCAAGAGGGGATGAACCCACACATGCCTATCCTCCACTTTACCCCATGCATTAGAAAATGTGGGAATTAAGGTGAGACCTGAGATCAGCAGATTACAGAGCAAATCACTACCCTTGCTTCTAATCTACAAGCAGAAAGACCCTTCCCTCTGTATTTGTATTTCACCTCACCAGAAATTCTAGAGCCCAAGAGCTGGCTGGTTTGGCCGGAGGGTGAAGAAGATGAGAAAGGGTTATAACTAAATCTCTTTTCAAATGACAAATTGGAGGATCTTTGTCCTTCCTTTCCTCATCTTTTTTTACCCCAGGTAATAATATAACCCTTTCTGCCCTGATAAAGATGCAGTGCATTTTACTCTTAATCTAAAATGATTCTTAATGTAATGACTGACTAGTGTCATAGGGAAGGCATTTTCAGAATTTATGGCTGTATTCTTTGATTCATCTACTTCTAGCTGTGACATTGATTGATGTTTATAAAATTCCTAAGCCTCTACTGGCAACTATGATTATTATCTTAGAGCATATAATCAAAGAAGTGTGGGTGAAATTATGTAGGAAGGAAAAAAATTCTTGACTTTAAAAAAATGTGTTAATAACAGCAATTATAAATTCAAAGGAAACATTTGAGCAAATAAAATTCCTTTCTGATGTTTTTAAACCAAAAGTTTGTCTCAGTTATTTATTTATTTTTGCTTGCCAGTTTGCCAAGTTGGCTCCATGGATGTATTTTACTTAGTACAATAATAGATCATTTTTTGACCAACTCTGATTATCATTCCACATGGCCATAGCCATGAAACTATAGTCTAGTATTAAGGCTCTAGTCATGTTATATTTTTAGAAGTTCTGAGATATAGCAATGAGGCATTAACTAAACATCAATCATTTTAAAAGTTGATAGTCATGTTAATGGTAATCTTAATAGAGTTTGTCCTTTTAAAGACACACTCACGATCATATACTTTCCAGATGTTAAAAGCACAGCTCTCAGATGAATATATTGGCAAGGGAATTCCAACGGCCATAAAAATGTAAGGCCCTGATTATCACCCAAACAAACTAAATTCTGCACTCACTTAGGTCATTTGTTTTCCTGTTCAGTCATTCCAGAATTTGAAGCCAAGCAGCTGAATAACATTGCAACACAGCCATACAGTTATAGTCAGTGAGAACATTCCTGAAACAATTCAGTAAAAATCTATTTGTAGAAATTGTAACAAAGCATAATTATATTGAATTTTTAAAAAGGTAGACTGTTATAACTTAAAGTTTTCTGTTCACTTTCAAATTGCTGCTATAACAAATGCACTGTAGCTCCAATCCTCTGGGGAGGGAGCTGGTACTCACGGTTTATAGCTGGGATCTGTTTGTTAGTTAAGACCAGACTTGAGATATACTTTTGTTGCAAACTCTCTGCATTCCAAGTCCTCAATTAAAAATACTGGGGTAACTCTAGAAAGTCCTGTGACAAACTGGGCAAAGCTATGAACTATCCTTCTCCTACCGATGTTCCAGATTACCCCAAAATGGTCAGACTATTCTGCACTTCCCCTACTTGGTGATCCCAGCCTTCCAGGGTTTCCAGTTTTCTTCAGTATATTCAGGATGGAAGAAAGAGTTAATTTGTCCACCATTCACAGAAAATCTTTTGGTTTCAGTCTGATTGAAGCAGCTTAGGTCAGATGTCTCAACTGAACCAATCACTAGAAACAGGAAAAAAAAACAAAACCTGATAGCCTTAATTCAGGACACTTGCTCAGGACTATTGCTTTTTGATCCTTCTGGGCATTAAACATATTTCATATGTTTCATATTTCATATTCCTTTCAAGTAATAAGCATTTTCCCTATCTCCATCTCCACTTTCCTTATTCCAAGGACTCTGATTTGCTCTGGAAAGGGAGAGAAGAGCTATCTTAAATTATCACACTCTGGGATGTTTCCAAATAGTTAATACCCACAAGGTAAATTTCAAACCCTATAAACCAAGAGCCCTGAAAACTGGAGTTAACCCAGAGTCCTGTAGTTTGGAATGTGGAGGCCACTCGGGTGACTGGTGGTGTTACTTTTAACAAAACTCCTTGGAGAGAACCAGAGTAACAAAGCAGGAGGATGGGAGTGCCAGACTACCAGGGTTTTTAAGTATATTAGGTTACAAAACAATCCATGTTATTTGTGCTGATCCAGAAAGAGGAAAAAAACCCACAAATGTGGACACAAAAGGTAGATTATAAACCAGAAACATGCAAAACTACAGATGATATAGACACATTTTTGGGGGGGAAGGGGGAGCCAAGAGAGGCAAGTGCTGTTGGACTAAAGGAATTAATGGAGAATAGACATGGAGAGGAGGCAGACAGTACAGTACAGGATGAATTTTACAGGCACTTTTTTTTCTTCAAATTTTTATTTAAATTCTAGTTAGTTAACATACAGTGTAATATTGGTTTCAGGATACAGGTGCTTATTTAAGCCTGAATTCCACATCCCTTTTTTGGGAACCCTCTATACTTCCTGCAGGATACCAATGGTATGTGTTCCCAGATTTTATGGCATTTGTTAGACTGTCAGGGTTTGAATCTTGGCGTGGTCACTCACTAGTTATGTAACCCCTTGTCAAGAATCTTAAATAGTTCTATATAGAAACTTAAGACATTTAGTTTCCTTATCTATGAAATGGACCAAATAGTAATGTGTTTTACAGCATAATTATAAATGTTAAATGAACTGTTAATATAGGTAAAACAGTGCCTGGCTCATCATAAGTCCCCAGTAAGTTGTTGCTATTATGTTTATTACTGATGTTAATAGACTTACATGTTAGGGAAAATGATAAGTACTCATTGATATATCATGAATCAATACCACAAAATATTTTCTAATCACATATTATTTCTCAAAAATCTTGCTTTGCTTATTCTATAATAATGAGATTGATGTCCATTAAGAACATTAGGTGATTCACTGAGAAACTCTTATTCAGTATCTATTAAGCAATGCACTGTGCAAAATATGAGGGGAAGACCTAAAAAATGAAAAAAGAAATAATACTCAAGGAATTTATTATATCTTGTCATTTAAGAACCAATCATTTTACACAAAATCTATTAGTGAGAATTGTTGTATGCAATAAATATAGAAAAGCTTTATTTCAGATATACAGTATTAGAAAAGCAAATTTCAGGACTAGAAGGATCTATTCTTGAAAATGTACAGATTTTCTCAATTTATTTTGTCCCACAATGTTTCACAGAGTTCAAAATTTATAGTTCATCCATTTTAGGGCTCACTAATAACTATGTGGATTCACTGAGGAGATAATAGAGTAGACCCCTAAGATAAGCAGAGTCTTAAAGACTAAGTATGAATTAAGAAGTAAACAAAGATTCCTTCTACAAAGATTCCTGATAGCCAGTCATATTACTTCACTTCAAGAAGTCAAGCCTTGTTTAAGAATCTGTATACAATAAAAGTCAGTAATCGTCATAATGTACTACTCACCGTCCGTAGTATGGGGAATTTGATCATATGTCCGAGAGCAGTTTCTTTTAAATGTAAGAATAGATTACTGAAAATGACTGGACCTACTTTGGGTTCAGAATTAATGAATTCATCAATAATTAAGATGTTTTCAGTAACCAATAACTAAAAGCCTGATTTGAACTTGCCTAAACAATTTACTGGTTCATGTAAGTGCAGTAGGTCATGCAAGACTCGGTATCACTAAGGGCTCGGTTTCTATCTCTGTAATTTCCCTTACCTGGTGATCCCAGCCTTCCAGGGTTCCAGTTTTCTTCAGTATATTCAGGATGGCAGGGTTAATTTGTCCACCATTCACAGAAAATCTTTTGGTCTCTGTCTGATTGAAGCAGCTTAGGTCAGATGCCTCAACTGAACCAATCACTAGAAACAGGAAAAAAACAAACACTTGATTGCCTTAACTCAGGACACTTGCTCTAAAAATGGAGCTGAGCAGATTTAGTTTCCCTAGAAGCACACCTTTATCAAATAAAAATCTGGAGCTATTGGGGAAGTGTTGAATAGATGCCAAGAAAGTACTAACAAATGCTCCATCCAGGACCTTTGATGCAGAAATAAACTTCTTTACCTTTGGTAATTTTAGCAAAATTCTATCTAAATTAAATTAAAAAAAGAAAAACTAATCCCCCCTCTCGCCACAAAAGTATATTAATATGCTCCATGATTATACTCCAAATCTGTGACAAGCTAGAGGATGGAGTGGAAAGAACCCTAGGGATGTTATTAGGAGAACTGGGGTCCAGCTTTGCCTCCATCACTTGCTAGTAGCTAAAACTCTGCAAATCACCTAATTTTTCTAATCATTGGTTTCTCATTCTAAAATGGACATCAGATTTTACCCTTTTCTCCCTGGCAGAGTTGTATTTCTTTTTTTTTCTTTTCTTTTCTTTTTTTTTTAATATTTTATTTATTTATTCATGAGAGACAGAGAGAGAGAGAGGCAGAGGGAGAAGCAGGCTCCCAAGGAGCAAGGAGCCCGATGCGGGACTCGATCCCAGGACCCTGGGATCATGACCTGAGCTGAAGGCAGACGCTTAACCATCTGAGCCACCCAGGCGCCCCTAGAGTTGTATTTCTGAAAACAGATAATACATAAAAAATATTTTGTGAAGTAGGTAATGTATTATATAAAGAAATATTGTTCTTAACATTAGATTTTTTTTGCCATGTCTGGTCTAAGACTTGGCCTGAAATGGCTATTTTTAAGAGCTTCCTGAATTAGGGGCGCCTGGGTGGCTCAGTTGTTAAGCATCTGCCTTCGGCTCAGGTCATGATCCCAGGGTCCTGGGATCGAGCCCCGCATCAGGCTCCCTGCTCTGTGGGAAGCCTGCTTCTCCCTCTCCCACTCCCCTGCTTGTGTTCCTGCTCTCGCTAACTCTCTGTGTCAAATAAATAAATAAAATCTTAAAAAAAAAAAAAAGAGCTTCCTGAATTAATATTTAGAGCTTGTCAAGGTTTTATTGTCTGTAAGTTCTTGGAGATACTTGCTTCCATAAATGAACTCCACATGTAGGTTACTAAATTTAGTATGTTGCTGTTAGTCTTATTTCATATATTTGTAATTATTAAAGTACTCTTGAAAAGTATGCTCTATATCTCCTCTTTACAGGGGATTTTAGTACCTATTCTTGCACCTTGATTGCTTTGTTCTGTTAGGTTTGAAATATTAGCACAATGGGAAAGGATAGAACTGGGATTTGTGTTCAATAAAGGTTTTTCCATAACTCAGAGCTCAAGAACAGAATCAATGTCATTGTCTAACTGAAGGTCAATCTGAAATAATTCAAGGGAAGGTAATGAGCCATCTTAGATTGCTATTCAAATACAAATTATCTAGTTTGATAAAGCTGTATCATATTAAATCATAAGATAATTCTATTATTTCAAATATTAATTTTAGAAAAATATTACTTTTTGATCCTTCTGGGCACTAAACATATTTCATTGTATTAATTTAAAGGATTATTTTTACAATTGCTACTGTCAGCTGTTAAAATGGTTTAAGCCTAAATGTCCATTTGGGTATGGCCACATACTCCCCATTGCCTCAGCACCTATCCCAATGAATTCAGAAGCAGTTAAAGTATAAATCTTTAATATTATGCAGTTATTTTAAAATGTTAGAAATTTTTGTTTCCATCTGACAACTACTACTCTACATTAGCTTACTTCAAAGACACTAATGCTAGAATTTATTCATTTCACTGTGTACTTAAACTCTATTATGTAAAATATCTAAATATCTAAATGAATGTAGATATTAAATTTTATAAGAAATCATTCATCCATTTATGGTTAATGGTTTTAGAATCCGGCACAGATATGAGACAATTATTTTCAAGATATGTGGTATGAGTGGTAGATAAGTACTGAGGAAGTGTTTGTCAAACACTGAGGGAGAAGACATTATTTCCATCCTTAAACAGACAGGAAGGGCACCTGGGTGGCCCAGTTGGTTAAGCGTGTGCATTTGGCTCAGGGCATGATGCTGGGGTCCTGGGACCAAGCACCATGTTGGGTTCCCTGCTCTGCGGGGAGCCTGCATCTCCCTCTTCCTCTGCCCCTTCCCCCCACCCTCTTAACCCCCGCTCATGTTCTTTCAAATAAATAAAATCTTAAAAAAACCAAAAAAACAAAAAACAGAAGCTAGAGCTCATGCAGAAGGTAGACATTTAGCTGGGAGATTTACATGCAGAAATCTAAGTGGAAAGTGCATTCTCAGCTGAGGGAATGTTATGAGCAAACCTGCAGAGGCAGGAAAATATGAGTGTTGGTGTGGACTCACCAACTGGTGGCCAGCTGCCTTACTTTGGCCTGCAGAGATGTTTTGTTTGTCCTGTATCATAATTAAAATTCTTTAGAATTGTAGCCAACATTAAAATCAGGGAAATTATGGGCTTCCAGTTTCCTGTGAAAAAGTGAAGATTTACCTACATTCCACATTCCAACATTTCAACAACGCCACACAGCAATTATTTGGAGTTGAGAAGCTGCTGCTTTGCTCAAAGGGAAGGAATCATCTTGTTTTCCCAAACAACTGTCTTCTTCATTCATTTAGGTTCCTTGCTCATTCCTATAATTGAATTAGCTTCCCCTAGCCAGTA